CGTGCGTGCAGCCGTTGCCCACACTGTGCACCCTGTGTGTGCACCCTGCACCCCAGGACCCCACACGGTGCACCCCGTGTGTGCACCTTGGTGCCTGCACCCTACACCCCATGTGTGTGCACCCTGCACCATATGCGTGCACCTTGCACCCTTTGTGTGCACCCTGCACCCTGTGTGTACACCCCGTACACTGGTGCCCGCACCCTGCACCCCATGTGTGGCACCCTGCGCCCTGGTGTCCACATGCTGCACCCCCGTGCCTGCACCCTGCATTTCATGTGTGCATCCTGCACTCCGGTGCACGCACCCTCCACCCCACGTGTGCACCCTGCACCATGATGCCTGCACCTTGCACTCCACGTGTGCACTGTGTGTGTGCACCCTGCACTGTTTAGGTGCACCCTGCGCTCCGTGCATGCACACTGCACCCCGTGAGTGCACCCTGAACCTTGCACTCCATGTGTGCACCCTGCACTTCATGTGTGCATCTCTCCCCCTGTGCATGCGCCCACCCTGCACGCTGTGTGTGCACCCCTGCACCCTGCGTGTGCATCTTGCACCCTCTGTGTGTGCATCCTGCACCCTGTGTGTGTGCACCCTGCACGCTTTGTGTGTGCACCTTGCACCCTGCATGTGCATCCTGCACCCTCTGTGTGTGCACCCTGTGCCCTGTGTGTGCATCCTGCACCCTGTGTGTGTGCACTGTGCCCTGTGTGTGCATCCTGCACCCTGTGTGTGTGCACCCTGCACGCTTTGTGTGCACCCTGCGTGTGCCACCCTGCACCCTGGTGCCCGCATCCTGCACCCTGTGTGTGCACCCTGCACCCTGCATGTGCATCTTGCACCCTCTGTGTGCGCACCCTGTGCCCTGTGCGTGCACCCTGTGCCCTGTGTGTGCATCCTGCACCCTGTGTGTGTATCCTGCACCCTGTGTGTGTGCACCCTGCACGCTTTGTGTGTGCACCCTACGTGTGCACCCTGCACCCTGGTGCCCGCATCCTGCACCCTGCGTGTGCACCCTGCACCCTGCATGTGCACCCTGCATGTGCATCTTGCACCCTCTGTGTGCGCACCCTGTGCCCTTTGTGTGCATCCTGCACCCTGTGTGTGTGCACCCTGCATGCTTTGTGTGTGCAGCCTGCACCCTGGTGCCCGCATCCTGCGCCCAGTGTGTGCATCTTGCACCCTCTGTATGCACACCCTGCGCCCTTTGTGTGCACCCTGCGCCCACTGTGTGTGCATCCTGCACCCTTTGTGCGTGCACCCTGCGCCCTTTCCGTGCACCTTGCACCCTCTGTGTGCGCACCCAGCACCCTGGTGCCCACATCCTGCACCCTTTGCGTGGGCACCCTGCACCCCGTGAACACCATCCAGCAGCCACTTCCCAGCGAGGGCTCATCCATCCCAGCGACCCTGGTAGGGTCAGAGGGACAGGAGGAACCCTGGGGGTGGCTGTCCCCCCCCAGACCCTCTTGTCCCCTGTACCACAGCGTGACTGCCACCAGTTTCTCCTCCAAGGCAAAGCCAGGCTGGGGAGGGTGACCAAACACATCCCCCACCACCACCTTAAGTGCTAAAATAAACCTGGTGGAGGATAAATAACAAGCCCTGAAGCTTTAATTCCTCCACCCAGGGCTCGGTGGGGGACAGACCCCCCCGGGCTTTGTGCTCACTGACCTTTGCAGCCACGTCCAGGGCCTCAGCCACCGGTGAGTGCAGAGCAAAGAACCGGGCGGGGGGGGGGGGATGCCCATCACACCAGCAGGGCCAGAACTGGAGATTTTGGGGAGTTCTGTCCCCCCCTTTTAGTTGTACAGCGCCTTGCAAACACCCCGCAAAGCGGCTCTGCAAACCCAGGTCTGTCCCCACAGCCGGGTCCCGGACCCGGCAGGTCCTGCCACTGTCCCCCACCCACTCCGAGCAGCCGAGCCTCCGCTCCCCTGGGATTCTTCAGCCGGATTCTTCTCCTCCATACCCATTTTCCTGTTGTCGTTCTCCAAGGCGAGCGTTTGGATCTGCTAGAGCAGGAATTACAAGCAGCTCTTAAAAAAATAAACCCGCCCTTCTGCGAGCTGCCCGTAACTCCGGGGCTTTGGGAGATCTTTTCTTCCAAGCCCTTGCTGCTGGGATCAGGGGGTTGAAACCCACCCTGAGGTCCTCCAGATATTTTCTTCTTGCTTTTCACACCCAAGAGCTGAGAGAGGAGCAGGATAGGGCCACTGTGCATTCTGCAAATGGACACCACGTCCACCCCAGGGCGGGGTTTTGCTGGTACGAGCTCCCCAGCATCCCGAGAGATGGGGTCCCTCTCCCTCTGCTGCACCCAAGACCACCACGAGCAGCTTCAAGCTGTGAAAAAAAAAAAAAAAAACCAAACTGCCCCAGAGGAGCTTTGTCTGCAGCCAGATTTATTTCTTTGTTCCGGGTGCTGTTAGGTGGCAGCAGCCGGTGCCATCGCTCATGTTTATGGCCGGAGGATTTCTCCTGGGAATAAACCCTCCCAGAGACGGAGCGAGGCCCCAGAGGCAACCAGGGTGGGATTTGGCATTTTTTTCTGATGGCGTTTGCCTTCCTGGACATGCCAGCAGTGAAGGGCATGTTTGCTTTGGCTCAGCTGGTTTCCTGGGTCCGTGCTTTGCAGGCGGTGGGGTGCCTCCAGCTTGACCAGTTGCCCTGGGCTGACCCATCCCACTGGTCTGCCCGGGAATCGGAGCCCGGACACAGACGTCCTGGGGATGGAGGATGCGTGCACCCACGGGACCGAGGCAATGTGCACCCCAGGGATGGAGGATGCACACACCCAGGGGATGGAGGATGCACACACCCAGGGGACCGAGGATGCACGCACCCCGGGGATGGAGGATGCACACACCCAGGGGATGGAGGATGCACGCACCCAGGGGATGGAGGATGCACGCACCCAGGGGATGGAGGATGCACACACCCAGGGGATGGAGGATGCACACACCCAGGGGACCGAGGATGCATGCACCCTGGGGATGGAGGATGCACACACCCAGGGGATGGAGGATGCACGCACCCAGGGGATGGAGGATGCACACACCCCGGGGACCGAGGATGCACACACCCCGGGGACCGAGGATGCATGCACCCCGGGGATGGAGGATGCACACACCTAGGGGATGGAGGATGCACGCACCCCGGGGATGGAGGATGCACGCACCCCGGGGATGGAGGATGCACGCACCCCGGGGACCGAGGATGCATGCACCCCGGGGATGGAGGATGCACACACCCCGGGGATGGAGGATGCACACACCCAGGGGACCGAGGATGCACGCACCCAGGGGACCGAGGATGCACACACCCAGGGGACCGAGGATGCATGCACCCCGGGGATGGAGGATGCACACACCCAGGGGATGGAGGATGCACGCACCCAGGGGATGGAGGATGCACGCACCCAGGGGATGGAGGATGCACACACCCAGGGGATGGAGGATGCACACACCCCGGGGATGGAGGATGCACACACCCCGGGGATGGAGGATGCACACACCCCGGGGATGGAGGATGCACGCACCCAGGGGACCGAGGATGCACGCACCCAGGGGATGGAGGATACAGGCACCCAGGGGACCGAGGATACAGGCACCCAGGGGACCAAGGATACGTGCACCTCGGGATGCATATGCACCAAAGCTGCACGCACCCGTGGGGCTGAGGATGTATACAGGCGGGGTGGGAGCTGGAGAAGCTGGTCTGGGCTGCAGGAGAAGGGGCAGGGGGCTGGCACGGGGTGGGAATCTGCTGGAGCAACGCCCTGCTGTGGCAACGTAGGGAGCGGGGATTATATATGGTGTGCAAGGAGGGAAAGGGGGCTTGGGAGCAACCCCGCAGGTCCTCCTCCCTCCCCCCAAAACCATTCCTGGCATCGTGCAGTGCTGGGCACCGCCGCAGCTTTGCAGCTCCCCCCCCACCCCCCCCACCCAAGAACTGGGTGGAAAAACCCCGCTGAGGGTCCTGCCCCGGTGCTGGGGTGCAAGGAGGGCTGGTAGGAGCCTGCAACTGCCTCTTAAAACCCCAAACCCAGATGCCAGCGCCATGGGAGAGGCTGTTTTGGCAGCGCCCGCCTGCCTTTCTGGGCAGGGCTCCGGGGCGGGTGCTCTGCTGCGGCTCCCAGACGCCCCGGGAATGATGCTCTTGGATTTTACATTGCAGCAACGGCTCCAAAACCTGCTCCCGAGGCTGTTTGTCCTGCCAGCAAAGCCGGAGGGAATGACGGCCAAGGTCATGGATAACTCCAGGCTGGAGGGAGCAGGTTTCAACCTCTCGCTGCCCACCCAGGGGCTAGGGTTTTTTGGTTTTATTTTTGTTTTTTTTTTTTTTTTTTTTCTTCTTTACTCCCTTTTTTAGCGATAAATGCAGATGCAAAACATTCCTGTGGGCTTGCTGGCAGAGCGGGGAAGGGCTGGGAGGAGGGATGCAGACAGACAAACCGCAAAGCCCCAGATGAAAATAGCTGGAGAGATGAAAATATCTGGGGAGAACTGAAGGCGGGGAGGGAGGGAAATACCAAGCGCGTTTGCCCAAATCCTCACACCATCCTGGATGTCTGTTTTTAACGTGTGTTGGGGCCAGGAGAAAGGGCTGGGAGCTCAGGGGAAGGTGTCTGGAGGCAGAGGATGAGCCCTGGCACCACGGGGATTGGCCCTGGGGAGGAGGAGAGATGCAGCGAGATGCTGCATGAACCTGCACGCTAAGGATCCCCCCCCCCCCCCCCCCGGGGAGAGCCGAGGTGCTCGTGTCACTTTGTGCTTTATTTCTCGACGTTACAAGGCAGAAGGTGATTTCTTAGGCAGCATTAATTAGTATTAATGTATTAAAACCTCCACACCAAAACCAACCCCGCGGGGCGAGCGGCCACCATCCAGGACCCTCTGGCCAAACCCCCAAGGGAAATATGATGGGATGGGGGTGACATGCCAGCCCCGATGCAGCCCCCTCCCCCCCCCACCCCCCCCCCCATGGCACAAGGACGGGTGCAGCCCCAAACCATCCCCCAGCACCCCTCCCTGGGACCCCCGTTAGGTGCACAAAGCCGGGGTGACGCTTTGTGTCACCCTCCACCCACGCCCGCCTCCCCCATCACTTCCACACCCATCAACCCCTATTAAAAAAAAATTAAAAAAAAAATCAAGCCCTAAAGGCAAAAATCCAAGCCTAAAGATAAATATAAATCCAACCCTAAAGGCAAAAAGCACCCCAGGGAGGAGGAAAGGCAGGGGACAGGGCTCTGCCTGCCAGCCCCGCTCACAGCCTGGAGATCTTGGGGAGGGGGGTGTCGGGGGGGAGCCCCTCCAGCCACTCCAGCAGGATCCTGTTGAGCGCCGCCGGCCTGGTGGGGGGGTGGGGAAAGGGAAGGATGCCCCAAAGCTGGGGAATTTCCCAAATCTGGGAAAATTTTGCCCGGGGAAAAAGGGGGAGCCCGGCTCGGCCGCGGGTACCTCTCCATCTGCGTCCAGTGCCCGCACTCCTCGATGTGCTCCCGGCGCAGCCGCGGGATCTTCGGAGGGAAAAGGGGTTGGTTTGTGCCTGGATCCGGCACGCTGCGCACCGGGAACCCTCCCCCGGCTCTTTATTTTGGTAAGAGAAAATCCCCTCCTGCCTGCTGCGGGCAGGAGAGAGGGAAAATGCTCCCCCCCCCCCCCCCCCCCCCCCCCGCCTCCTCTTCTCCCCTCCCCATAGATGTCCCCAAATCTGGGCCAAGTCCAGCCTACAGCGGGATCTTAGGGAAGCGGGATGGCTTCGGTGCCCGGGCAGGATGGGACCACACTGGGCTCACCCACTCCTCCATGCCGTTGCTCATACTGGGATGCAGCACCACGTCCTTCCCGGCCGTGACCATCAGCGCCGGCATCGTGATCTGCAGGGGACGTAAAAGCGACAAGGCGGGGAAGGTGCCGGGGTCTGTAAAACGCTCGGCCCACGGGGCAGGATCAGTCCCCACCTTCCTGTCCTTGGCGGAGAGCGCCCAGCGCCAGTTGGGTCGCATGTTGCGGTACCAGTTCAGGGGGCCGCTGGGAGAGGGAGGGGAACAGGCTGGAGATACCACGGCGGGGGAAAAGCCTGCAAGGGGAAAGCAGCGCCCTACCCCCCAGCAACCTTACACCCTCCTGGGGTTAGAAAGGAAGGCCAAGGTGGGGTTGGGGGTCCCCCTTTCTGCAAGGCGGGGGGGTACCCCCTTCCCCCCCCTCCCCGGGCTCCTGCCTTTACCTGAAGCCGGATTTCTCGAAGCGCTGGATGTAGTATTGCAGCTCGGGGCCGTGCAGGAGCTGGCTGGCGGGTGGGTTTTCTGGGAAGCCCACCAGCAGCCCCCCTGCAAAAAAAAAAAAAAGAGCAAAAAGGAGGCACAGAACTGCCCGCCTGCAGCAGCCCCCGCCACCTCCAGCATCCCCCCCGCCCCCCCCCCCCCCCTTTACCTCGCTCCTGGACCCTGTGGAAGTTGAGCGCAAAGGGCAGGCGATCCTGCAGAGAGAAGGGACCGAGGGCAGTCACCCCACAAAATCTGCTGTCCCCTGGGCTGGGCTGTCCCTCTTTGCTTCTTTTTCAATCCCCATTCAGGGTCAGCTTCGAGTCCTAAAGAGGTGTGGGCCCTGCGCTGCTGCGTCTAAGGATGCGTTCACTCTGGTCCCTACTGACGGCTAACTAAACGCACTTTGCTGCAGACAGGCAGCAGAAAGATGGCAGACTCAGGGTGTTGGGGAGGCACTGTGGGCCACTGCAAAGCCACCCCTGAAGCTTTGGGCTCCTGGCATGGACGAGGCTGGCAGGGCTTGGAGAGGACACGAAGCCGGGAAGCCTTTTGCTCCCACTCCAGGGTCCACCCTCAGCCCCATCCCTACCTCCCGCCGCGTGGAACGGATCAAGACCTTCAGGGTCCGGCCGATGTCCTTCTCGAGCTCCGCTTCCGCGACGCCCTGCACGGAGGGAAGGAAGAGCCGTGGGTGATGCCAACCCCCCCTCCAGGCCCGGATCCCACCACCATCGGGGCTCGGGTGGAGCCTGGGGATGGGTTTTTTTTTTTTTTTGCAGAATTCAGGGTCTGGCAGGGGGAACCACATCCCTTCTGCAGCTGGGGTGACAGCGAGAGCCCCACAGCATAAGATGAGGACACAGGCACGTCCCCATATTCGGGGGGGGGGGCGGGTTGAGCCCCCCAAAAAGGGTGGAGGATAAAAATTGTTTTCCCAGCCTCACCGGTTCCTGGAAGTAGAACTGGTAATCGAAGTTGGGGTAGGTTTTCATCTTCTCCACGATGTCCACAGCGGGGTTGGCGGGTCGATACGGGGTGTTCAGCGAGGCCACGGCTCTGGGACGTCACGGGGAGGGGGACACACACACACACACACACAGAATGAGCATCAGACCCAGATTTAGGGCACCCCGTGCGAGCTGGGGCTTTGCTGTAAGGACAGGAGAGGATCTGGGCCCCCCCCCCCCCCCCCCCAAAAAGGACCCACCTCACCCTCTCAGGGTAGAAGAGAGCCATGTTCCAGACCACGGCACCGCCCCAGTCGTGGCCGACCAGCACGCTCTGCGGGATGCCCTGCGGGTTTAGGGGGGCTGTGAGCACGTGCCCCGCAGCTGCACCCCAAAAGCAGCACCCAAGAGGCAATTTGCTTTCCTCCAAAGCAGCAAAGAGATCAGAAAAATAGCAATATTTTATCTTTTTTTTTTTTTTTAATTTTTTTTTTTTTTTTTTCCCCCCCAAGGAACAAGCCTCACCTCAACCCCTGGAGCAATTTGCTCTGACTTAATTAAACGCTTCATGCACCTGGGCCCTCCAGAGGGAAGGGGTTTGATATCATCCACTGAAAACACATCTCGAGGCTTGCTCGTCCCTCGGGATCAGCCGTTCGGGTGCCCCCGTTGCCGTCGCACGGGGTGACAGCACCGGCAACATCTCGGCATCGGCGCAGCCGAATAAATCCCGAGTCCCTCTGGGAAGGGGCTCGCAGCATCCCCCAGGGCCGGCCGGATCCTGCCCAGAGCTGAGCACGCTGAGCTCACTGTTCCCCGTCCCCCCCCCCCTCAATTCCATTTTCCTGACCCCTCTGGGCACCTACAAATAAATCCAATTAAAACCCATGCTCCTGACAATGCAGCAGCCGGTTCATAATTAGCTGATATTTAGAAGTGGAATTAAAATTCCCTCCTGGCAGACATGGCTCGGGGCCGTCCGACGGCATGAAACCGTGTCTGAGACCCACCCCCAAGGGGGGCAGAGGGTTTGGGGGGGGGTCCCAGCATCTCCCACCTCTGCTACGGGGCTGAGCAGGTCCCCCCTGTGCTGGTGGGTTTCATCCCACCATCCCTGGCCGTCACCGTGCTGGCTCCTGGACCGCTCTGCATCTTCTGCACCCCAGATACAGGCTCAAACAACACAGGTAGTCATTTATCTTCCCCCCCCCAAAAATCTCCGGGGTTGTCCCGGGGGGTTGGGGAGATGGACCTCCCCCCCCAGGCAGGGAGAGGAGCAGGATGGGCCCCGAGGATAGCGAAGGAGCAGGAAAAACCAAAGTCCCATCCCTATGGGATGCCACGACCTCGCATCCCATCTACCGAGCTCACCCCGAAGCAAAGCGGGCGCCCACCCACTTTTGCCAGGCTGGCACCTTTCTAACTATTTTCTTTATCGTTTTTAATCCAGCGGGAAGACGATTCCCCGGCCAAAAAAAAAAAAAAAAAAAAAATCACCGTGATTTATCCACATCTGCTCGGCACCAAACCGGAGCCACAGCCCCCGCGACGCCCGGCTTGGTCCCCCTCCCAAAAACCCCTCCCAGCTCTGATGCCGGCACAAAACCACCACCACTCCTGGCACAAGGAGCCCTTGCAAAACCTCAAGGGTTTTTTGGTTTTTTTCCCCACCCCCCACCCTTGTTTCTCGAGTTATCTCTTTTGCTTTTTTGAAGGGCTCGTTCCACCGTAACCCGTTTCACAAGGAGAAAGCCCTGGAGATGCTGGCAATTATGGGCTGGGCCTTCTTCCCCCTCCACTTCACCTCCTTTTAAAAGGCGCAAAAAATCAACCCCCATCCCCTCTCCAGGATGGGAATTAAACCTGGAGCTCCCAAACCCAAGCGGATCAGAGGCTGAGATGACACCAGATTCGGGGGACCCAGCTCCCTGTCCTCAGCAAGGACACAAAGTCCAGAAGGTGACACAGAGCTGGAGACCCTTCCGAGGATGGGTTCTCCCCACCAGCAATGGGTTCCGTCAACATCCCCATCCCTAAAATCCCACCCACGGGGAACACAAGGGTTTTAGAGCAAAGTCACCAGGGATCTCGGATGTCCCAGCACGGGACAAAGTCACCAGGGAGCTCATCTGTCCCTGCATGGGAAGGACACCGGCCCAAACCTTGCCAAGAAGGAAGGACCCATCGCGAGGAGCTCCTCACCAGTTTGTCCAGGAAAACCGCCAGGTCCTGGGGAAAAGAGGGGAGAAAGGGTCAAATCCTGCCCAGGACCCCGCCCTTCCAGCCCGCACCACCCTCCACACCGCACTCATCCTGCCCACGTCCGCACCCTCACCTTGCATATCTGCTCCTGGGAATATTCTTTTACATCTGCACGAAAGACGTAATCACCATCATTTTAACATCCGCACGTTTCTAAGGATGTATTTTGCATCCATCTGAGCTGCCGGGGGCTGCAGGAGGAGCCGGACAGCTTCTACCCCTCCCAGGAGAAGATTCCTCCACCCAGCTCCTCCTGGGTTTTGGCCTCGGGGTTGGCAGCTCCCCCCCACCCCTACACCCCGGTCATCCCAGCTCACCCGGCGGAGCCGTGGACTCCCCGTAGCCCTTCATCTCCAGAGCGATCACCCTGAAGCCAGCATCAGCCAAAGCTGGGATCTAAGAGAGAAAACAGCGGCCTCCAAAGGACGCGGAGACCCCCAGATGTTCCCCCGGCATCAGCACCCGCCACGCACCTGCCCACCCCAGGGTGCCCGGAGATGTCCCCAGGAGGGCAGACACAGGTTGATTGAGGGTGGGGAACCCTCCTGGGCTGTCCCGTGTCCCTCAAAGCTCAAGGCAGGGTGGTGGGACAGCCCCAGGACCGACCCCCCCCCCCCCCCCCCCAGGAGCGGTGGCCACTCGCTCCCCGGCATCCCACGGCCAGCCCCCCCCCCCCCCCCCCCAGCCCCCCCTGCTCCCCATCTCCTCCATCACCTGGTAGCGCCAGGAGAGCCAGGACTCGGGGAAGCCGTGGCAGAGGCAGACGACGGGGCCGTGCCCCATTTCCACAAAATGCAGCTGGACACCGGGCTGGAAGGGATGGAGAAGCCTCAAGGGCTGCCGGGGGGGGGGGCATGGCTTCACACCGCCCCCCCCCCCCCCCCCGCTGGTCACCCGGCATGGGAGCCCACCACCCCACAGCCACGTGAGCACCTCTGAGCCCCTTGGAGTGGATGGAGAAAACCGAAACGCTGAGGCAGCTCAGCACCCAGCCCTGCCAAGCTGGGGGTCACCGAGGAAGTCCCCTCCACCTTACCCGGATGGGGACGTATCCGTGGGTCACGTCGGACGGATCACACGCAGTGGGCAGCGGCTCTTCTTGGGTGAGAAGCTGCGGGGCGAGGAGCACAGGGTGAGCTTCTGAGCAAGGCTGGAGCCCACCCCCCCCACCCCCCCCGGGACATCCCCCCCGCCGCCCTGCTGCTGGTGGGACGTCCACACGTTTGAGATGAGCGCGGCTCAGCAGGTCCAGGGGGACGAGGTTAGCGAGGGGGGGTGGGCAGGGTTTGCAGGAGATCACGGCCCCCCATCCCTCCCGGCTCTGCAGAACTCCGGGATCCCCAGGAGAGCAGCGGAGAGACCACCACTACGTGCCTGGATGCCCGAGAGCTCCTCCAGCTCTTTGAGGGCGGTTTCGGTGTCCCCGACGAGGACGGTGGCCATGCCCATCTCCCGAGCCGGCTTCAAGTTCTCCCCGACGTCGTCCAGGAGGATGACCTGGAGATACACCAGCGAGAGCCGGGCTCAGCACCCCGGGGAAAGGCACCCACCGGGTTTGGCCAAGGACTTTGGGTGCTTGGGAGAGGGACTTCTCCATGCCCGTTTTTTTTTTTTTTTTTTGGGGGGGGGGGACGGGGGTGTGACGGCCGTACCTCGTGCGGCTTCGCCTGCAGCGCATCCAGGGCGTAGGTGTAGATCTGGGGATCCGGCTTCTGCACCCCGAGCCGGCAGGACTCGATCATCAGGTCGAAGTGACGGCGCAGGAGGTTCATCAGCACGGCCGTGAAGAGCCGCCCAGCGCTGTCGTCCACCCAGTTGTTGGTGAGGACGCAGGTCTTAAATCCTAAGGAATTCAGAGCCGGGGAGCGCTGGTTTTCCCACTCCAGCTCTCCGGAGAGCGTTTGATTTCACCTCTCCTCCCCAGCCACGTTTCTCAGACCTTTTCATCCTAAAATCTCCAATTTGCGAGGCCCTGTCCGGGCCAGGACACCCCAGCAGGGGATAAAAGGATGCTCAGCAGGAGTTTAATGCCCAATTTTTACTTCCAGGAAAGCAAGGCTCGACCCTCCCAAGGCAAACGGGACGTGAGCTGGAGCTCGGGGACACAAAACGCTGAGGACTGAGCCGATGGAACGCGGGGCGAAGGGCTCCGGCGTCCTGCTAATTGCTGGCTGATGGATTTGGGCTCGGAATATTTAATTATACATCCTGTTTTGATGCTGAAGAGGGACTGAGCAGGGACCCCTGTGGTGGGACCAAGCAGAGTCCCCAGGGTGGGACTGACTGGGGACAACCCCCCCCCCGTGGTGCTGTCTCAGGAGGGGAGCAGCACCCTGACTCCAACACTTCTTGCCCAAGAGCCCCCCCCTGCCCCCCAGCACCCACCGTTCCTCCGCAGCACCCTCGCTGCCCGCAGGAGGGGGGCGTTGACCGTCCCCTTGGCCCCCATCTCCTCGAAGGCTCGAGCGACGGAGAAGGTGGGCGGCAGGGTGATGCCCGAGGCGGAGGCGTGCTGCCTGCAGCCCTCTTCCATCTCCGAAAAAAGCTGGAAAACACCCACGCAGACGTTCTATTGATGCCCCCCCAAAAAAAAAAATAAAGCCCAGCCCATCCCGGAGCCTGCTCCCCTCAGCTGCACCCCAAACCCCAGCTGAGCCACCGGCGATGCTGCACGGTTGGTACCCGAGGGCTCACCTGGGACAGGGTGATCTGTCCCCTCATCACTTTGGTGTAAGGACTGTCGGAGTTGCCGGCAAACATGACTTTTCGTAAGAAATTCCTGCCAGGCAAAAGAGGAGAGTTAACCCCGGGGGAGGACCCCAAAATCAGCGGGGGGGTGTTGGGGTGCGCTACGGGGAGGGGGACGCTCCGTGCTGGGGGATACAGAGCTCCATCCATCATCCCCCAGCACCGGAGCATCACTTCATTACAGGACCCGGAGATCGCTGCCCATTTATTTCCGCTGGCAGCTCAATTACTTCACCCAGCAGATAGACGAGCGGGGAGTTTTGCCAGGAATGAAAAAAAAAAAAAAAAAAAAAATGCAAAAAGCAAGATATTTTGCAAGCTGTAGCTCAGGGAAAATAATTCACCCCTATCACAAGACCACAAAAGGCCTTCTCGGGCGGCAATAAAACAAGATTACAGCAACTGCCTTTAGGACAAAGCTCTGAGTCGATAAAAATGCAGCTGGGTTAAAAATAAAGCGGCTTTACGTGTTCAAGCAAGATTGCTGTCACTTTTTTTCTAATACAAAGAGAAGCAAAAATATGTTTGATGGCCTGATAATCTGGGAATTTATTGCTCCATCTGCTCCATGTCCTCCAGCATTTAGCTATTTAATAACTTTTTTTTTTAAAAAAAAAAACTTCCTGCTTTTTTTTTTTTTTTAAACACCCACGCGCTGCTGGGAAATCCTGACATGTTGGGCGATGCCAACAGACAGAACCCGTTCAGCTCCTGTTTGGCAGCTTTGGGGGATTAGTGATTCCCAAATACTCTGTATTAAATGGGGCAAAGAGTTTGCTGGGACTCGAGAGGCTGTTTGGGACCCGCCCGGGGGTTCAACGCTTTGGGTTTCGGCAGCTCCAGTGTGTGCACCGAGTTGTGTCGGGTCTCAACACCAGGGTAGGGATGGGCTTAGCTAGTTATCCCACTAAATTAATTATTAGTTGCTCTTCTTATCGCTTCTGCCACCATCCCCTATGATGATCCTGTCTCTTTGGGAGTTAGTTTTAACTGCTGACCTGCACCCCACATTCAAGAGAGGACCCCCCCCTTCTCCCCCAGCCTTCCCCCCGCATCCAGCACAGGGCCCCTCCGCCAGCCTGCACCCCGCAGCCAGGCAGGACGTCCCCAGCCTGCACCCCCCATATACACAGGGACCCCAACGTGCGCCTCACACCCAGGACAGGGGGTCCCCAACCCGCACCCCACCCCCAGCCCAGCCCTTCCGCTGTGGGGGCCGCAGTCGCGCCGGCTCCGCGCGGGCGGCGGCCGCACACACAATATTGTCGCCGCGTCTCTACGTGTCTCCGGCCGGGCGGCGACTCGACGAAGAGCGGGCGGACGAAAGCCGCTGCGCCGGGCCGGGCCGAGCCGGGCCGGGCCGGGCCGGGCCGGGCCGTACCTGGGCAGAGCGCAGTCCCGCTCGCAGGAGCCCAGAAAGTGCTGCAGGCCGGGCCCGAAGAGCACACCGCCAAGGTCAAACAACACAGCCCGACGCACCATGGCCGCCTCACCGCTACCGGCACCGGGGCTCGAACCCGTGACCCACCCGCCGCCAGGCGCTCTAAGCCCCCGACAGTCCCTTAGGCCCCGCCCCCGCCGCATCGCCACGCCCCCTGCCCAGGCGCCGCGCTGGGTCCTAGCGCCGCCGTCTGAGACCCGCCGCAGCGCACCCCTGCACGGGGGACACCCCTCAGCACCCTCCCGGTCCCGTGGGTGCTGCCGTGGGTGCCCGTGGGTTCCCGCCTCTCCACCCACTCACTGCCGCTGCCCACCCGGGTTTTTGCCTATAATCTCGGGGTTTTTTTTTTCCCGTTAAAGGGGAGCCCGGGCCCGCTCCTCCAGCTCCCGCAGCACCCCAGGGTGCAGCAGCACCCACTTGACCCTGCACCCAACTCCGAGGGGCCTAACGGGGCTGGGAGTGGGTGCCCAGGCCGGACCGACCATGTGCTGCGGGCGTGCAGACACACGTGCACACGCACACATGTTCACGTGCACACAGGTGCACATGCCTGCATAGATGCGGGAGCACATGCATGCGTGTACGCCCACACGCAGATGGGCACACCCACATGCGCGCATGCCCGCGTGCACACGCGCACACACACGCGTGTGCGCACCCATGCGGAGCGTGTATGCACACCGCCGGCCACGTCGCTGAGGGCGTGGGTGCGCCGGTAAGCACGCGTGTGCTTCCCCAAGCCACATACATGAACACTCAGCACGGGTCTGCGGTGGGGGCCCCGAGCACGTATGTGCACCCTCAGCACATGTCTGCATGCCAAGCGCATACGTGCACATGCGTGAACCCCCCCGGAGAGGCAGCTCCAGGGAGGGGACACGCGACCCCCCCCCCCATGCACCCCAAAGCAGCCCTGGCGTGCTCAGTGCCGGACACTGCGTGGCCGTGACCGTGGCCACGCGTGTGCTTGCGTGTGGGCCGGCCCCGCCTCGAGGAGCCGCCGGCAGTGCCGTGGCGGGACGGTCGCGTCGCCGAGCAGTGAGTGGGATGTTTTGGTTTTTTTTTTTTTGGGGGGGGGTGCGGGGTGGGAATGTGTGTTGTGTGACACCGGGAGGGCTCGGCGGTGCTTTCGCAGCCAACCCCAGCTCTCTGCCTCAGTTTCCCCACTTGCTGAACGAGCGGTGGCCAGAACTGGGGCGGCGGGGGGGGGGAGGGTGGGGCTTGCTGGGATGGCTACTGGGGAGGGGGCAGAGTTATTTTAGGGGGGGGCTCAAGCTCGGAAAAGCCAACCATTTACCAGCAGCTCAGTGCCCCCCATCCCTCATCCCCAACATCCCCAGGACCCCAACATCCTCCCGGAGTGGGTGGATGGAACCCCCCCCCTTCCCTAATTTATCTGGTGGAGGGGGGGAAAGGGGGGGGGGCTGAAGGTTTGATGGTTTGTTTGGGTTTTTTTTTTGCCTCCTCCCATCACAGAGGGGGGGAAGCTCCAGCACAGCCCCTCCGCTCACCCCCAAACCGGCTCTGCAGCCCCCCCCCCCCCGAGTGCCAAGCCGCTGTAACACCAACCGCGGCAAAAAAGGTGGGAGTGGTTTTTTGTTTTTTTTTTTTTTGGGGAGGGTGGGGGGAGCGGCGGGTGGTGAGGGGTTTGGAGGAGGGGACGGACTTGTAGAAAAGAAGGGAAAAGGAAGAATTTTGCTGGCCTGGCGCTATTCCGGTGGGAAGAGCCGGGAGGAAGAACCCAGCCTCGGTGCCAGCGAAATGCCAGCACGGCTGCGCCTCTGAGACCCGGCCGGGCCGCCGTGGGGCCTTCGCTGTGTCCCCCCCCCCCCCCGCCACCCCCTCCCCTCTTTTTGGGGTCCTTGGCTCCCACGCGAAAACCGCCCACCCCCGTTCCAGGCGCTGGCCTGAGACCCGAGGAGCTCATCGCACCCCAGGTGGGGGAGCTGGGATGGTGAGGGGACCCACCCCGTCCCTTCTCTTCACAGCGGGGCTGGGAGGGTGGGGGGTGCTGGTGGGGACCCCCCCACACACCCCAAAACCCCTGCACTCACCGCGCCGGCAGCCTCAGGCACCCGCTCACCCCGCCCCGGTTTTGAAAGAGCCGAATTGTCTGCCCCCCCCCCCGCAGCCTCCTGCTTTTTCCATTAATCCAGAGAGGGATTTGGGGGGGACAAGCTGCCCCCCCAGCAGGATCAGCCTCACCCCAACCCTTCCAGCCCTCATTTTAACCCCTCCGTGCCTCAGTTTCCCCATCGCCATCCTCCACATGCTGCGCTGGGAAGGGTGTAGAAAGAGGGGGGGGGGGTGCCCTACCCCCCCCCAACCTGGGGGGGAGTCCTCTGTGGTGTGGGGAGAGCAGGGTGTGAGATGCCCAAATCCCAAAGCCTGTCAGCTGGGGATGAATAAGTATAGAAAAATAAGGGTGTCTGGGGGGATTTTGCTGCTGCAAATTTGGGGGTCCCTGGAGGGGACACAAAAGGGTCTCAGGGGGTGTCTCAGCTGCAGCCTCAACCCCCCCCCCCCTTCCCTCCCGGCCCCCCCATTTATTTTTGTTTCCGCAGGACACCATGGTCCTGGGGGGCCCCGGCTGGTGCCTGCTGGTGGGGGTCTGCACCCTCGTCCCCCCCGCCACCACCCAGGGGGGACCAGAAGAAGATGCGACACCCAACATCAGGATGGAAGAGTTGGGGTACCACCTCCCCCAGGACGGGGACCCCCTGGGGGACCCCCAGCGCTGCGGCATCACCTTCCACCCCCCCAGCCCTTGCAGCCCCCGTGAGCCGCCTGCCTCCCGCGACGAGCTGGATCATCTCAAGAACCTCTTGCAGGACACCAAGGCCAGCCTGAAGGACGTGGAGAAGGCGGCCAGGCTGGAGGACAACCGGACCCGCTACCAGGACATCATCACCGAGGCGCTCCCCGTCATCCGTGGGGCCAACCTGGAATTTCGGGAGAGCCTGGATAACGTCCGCAGGGAGCTGGAGGCTCACGTGGCCGAGGCCGATCACCCACGGACGGCGGAGAAGAAGGAGAAGTAAGTGCCGTGGGCGGGAGGTGGACGGGGGGGGGGGGGGGAGATGTTCCGTGGTGGAGGTGATGCTCCAAACCCCGTGGGTGGGAGCCCACCCCCCAGCTGCAGACACCCAAGGGGTTGGGGGGGGGGTGTGGGGGGTGTGTGTGGGGGGGTGGGTGGATGTCCCCAAGGGTCCCACAGCCTTTGTGGTGGCTTTCGGGTGGCACGTGGGGTTTGGAGGCTCCGCCGTTCCCATCCACGCGTGTGGCCCACGGGGGGGGGCCGGTGAGGGGTCCTCTGAGGGCGGGGGGGGGGGGGGGATGTCAGTGAGGGGGGGGGTGGTGGCGGTGTCACTCTTAAACCAGCTGAGCCCAATGTGATGATGGAGGGAGGAGTTGGGGACCCCCCTCTAAGACCCCCAGAGCTGCAGCATCACCTCCCACACCCCCCCTCTGTGGGGAGGGGGGACGCTGAGCCCACTCTTTCCCCCCCCCCCCCCCCACTCCCAGGCTGCGGAAGGGTGTCCGCGTGGTAGCCCACATGCTACGGCTCACTAGCCACCTGGCCCGGACCCTGGATGCCACGTCCCGTCGCCTCCACGTTGAGCTGGGCCGGCGCCTGCGGAGCTCGGCCACCCACGCCGCTGCCACGGCCGAGCCCTAGGGACAGCGGGGACGGGCTCCGCTGTCACCCTGCACGTGGCCTCGCTTGCTGGTGGGACCCCGACCCGGCCCAGCTCCGCAGCTTTTAGGGGTGTCCCGGCTCCTGGGAGCTGAGACTTTGCCCCTGGGGGGGGTGGGTTTGCGGAGAGGTCTGGGTGCTGGAGCCGGCAGCGCCGGGAGGGGATGGGGGGGGGGGGGGGGGGTGTGGGGGAGTTGGTGCCCACCACGGGCTGCTGTCGCACGTGGGATGGCACTGCGTGTGACGCCGTGGCACACGGGATGCCATCACACATACGGTGCCCTTGCACGTGACGCCATCGCCCCCCGGGGTGTCATTACGCAGGGGGTGGCATCGCAGGTGGGGGGGGGGGGGGTGTCGTTGCACACACGACACCGTGGCGCGTGGGACGCCGTCATCACGCACGCGGCGCCCTCACACGCACGTGACACCGTCACACGCACGTGAGACCGTCACACACGCGACGCCGTCACACGTGTGATGCCCGTAACCCCCGTCCCAGGCGCTCGACCCGTCTATCCCCGCACAACCTCCACCATCATACAGCAAACCCAGTGCCACCCCGTGCGCCCAGCCCCGCTCCCCAGGGGAAGACCCCTCCGTCGGGGGGTCCTTCCCATCCCCAGCAGACCTCAGCCCCCCTTCGGCCGCCCCTGGAAGAGCTTTATCCACACAAGCTCCCTTTTTTTTCCCAGCTAGCCAGCCCTGCGTGCCAACAGCTAAGCCATCACACCCCGAATCTTGTCTGAGCCGGGCTCCTGGGGCTCCTCAGAGTCTTAAAAATTAACCTCAGCTTTTTTTTGGGGGGGGGGGGGAGCTCGGCTGCATCTCACCGGTGATCCAGCTGCTGGCCCCCGGTTCATCGTTTATCCTTGGGAGCACCTTGTCCAGGCTTGGAAGAGCCTTTTTGCCCCTGGGAGGAGGCAGGGCGGAGGGGATGGGGGTGCCCTGCCTGCACAGAGCAGGGCAAGCAGCGGGATGGCGCCTGGAGGTCAATAAATCGGAGCTGGCAACTCGAGTGCTCCCAACCCACTGAGGTTTGGGCAGCTGGAAACAGAAAATCCCGCTGTCTTTGTAAAGCCTGGAGGTTCTCCCAGGAGGCTGGAGGGCTCGGGGAGGGGGGGGGCACCCCACACACCCCACCCCACCCCCCCGGTGCATCCTAAGGATGGGCAAGAGGCAAGAAAAACCCCCAGGGCAGCGGCAGCGGCACTTCTGCAGGAGCTGCAGGCAGCAAAATAAAGATGCATCGCGCTCTGCCAGGCATCAGCTTTATCGCCGCGTCTCTTTTCTCTCCGTCCTCCGCTGTCTGAGGGGAAAGGAGGATGGAGGAGGTTGTCTGCAGGGTTAACTGCCCCTCCACCTCCAAAATCATCGAATGAAATCAGGAGCCCAGCGAAGGGGATGGACCCCCCCCTCAGCATCCACGGCACTTCCCACCACCCTCCCCAGCCTTCAAGCCACCATTCCAGCACTCAGCTCTGCTTTTTCCTCTCCAGAAAATCAATGTTTGTCTTTTTTTTTTTTTTTTTTTTTCCCCTCTGATTCATTCACCACGGTCTTCCCCAACTCATCCTTTTTCCCTCATTCCCTTCCTTTGGTGGGCCTGGATTGATCTCCTGGAGCAGCCCTTGCAATTTCCAGCTGCTCCTCAGCTCTCCGGCACCCATCACTCCATCTTCCTCCCTCCCCGTTGCCCCAGTTTCGGGGGTCTGCCTGACACCGAGCACCCTCCCTTCAGCCTCACAGGCACCTTTGGGACGTGGCCGTGGGCTGAGGGCTCTGCACCGTGGCCCGGGGACGGGGCTTTGCATCGCACCATCAGCGTGGTTCCCCGGGATGATGGGGTACCGGCTCCGTGGCCTTTTTCCCCATGGATTTCTGGTATTCAGCATCCCGAGGATGGTGGGGGGCAGCCCCATGGATGCAGGAGGGATGGGGGTCCTGCGGTGGAAGCAGCAAATTCAGGTGCCCTCCACGCCCAGGCCTGCCTCTTCATTGATAGCCCAAGGGAAAGGAAGCAAATCGTTGGGCAGTTCCCCCAGGGCTGGAAACTGCAGCCTTGGGCTTCATTTGCAGGAAGGTTGCGCATTAAATTTCCTTGCAGGAAGGGAAGAAGGCGGCTGGTCTGGGGAGGGGGCTGAGTCTTCCCCCGGGGAGGTCGGGAAGCAGGGGGGAGCTCAGGGTTTCCCATCCTTTTGTTGTCGGAGAACCACTTCTCCTGCCCAAAGTAGTCCTGTCCCCATCCCTGTCCCCGCCTGAGGGGATGGGGAGACCCGAGACAGGAGGGGAAAGGGGTCTGCAGGGTGTGGGGGGGTTGATGCTGGGTGTTGCCTTGACTTTGCCCTCCTAATTCTGCAACCGTCCCCTTAGCAGTGTTTTATGGGGGCAAGCATGGGCTGAGGCAGGTGCTGTGTGGGGCCAACTCAAGGCATTACACCCTTTTTTTCTTCAGAGCAGGGCACATCGCTGCTCCCTGGAGCTGCCTTGCACCAAACGCCCAGGCTGAGGCTGTGGGAAAACCCTGGGCTGATGGGGACCGGGGCAAGCAGCCCCCCGCTTCCCCCCTACCAGTGCAAGAGCCTGCACCTTTGCAACGTCCTGTGTGATGCCCCATGCAATGCTGCACGCAATACCCCGTGCAATATCCTGTGCAATGCCCCGTGCAGTGCCCTGCAATACCCCACGCCATGCCCCGTGCAATATTCCATGCAATACCCCATGCAATACCCCGTGCAATACCCTGTGCAATGCCCGACAATACCCCACGCCATGTCCCATGCAATATTCCATGCAATACCCCGTGCAACATCCTATGCAATGCCCTACAACACCCCACGTCATGCCCCGTGCAATATTCCATGCAATACCCCATGCAATACCCCGTGCAACACCCTATGCAATGCCCTACAACACCCCACGCCATGCCCCGTGCAATATTCTGTGCAATACCCCGTGCAATGCCCCAGGACATCCCTGCAACACCCCAAGCAATGTGCCCTGCTACTCCCCGTCCTGTGCTCCGGCTCTGCGGCTCCGCAGCACTTTGGCTCCTGCTTTCCTCCCCTCTCCCTCCCCTGCCCCACCACACAAAGCCCAGCATCCCCTTCCCACTCCCCCCAGCCGAGTGGTGCCTTGGAAGAGACTCGGAAAACTCCGACAAATCCAGCCTTTTCCAAGCTCGGGGAAGCTTTGCTAACTCACGGGGAGCGAGGAGGACCAGGGGAGCTGATGCCCCTCCAGCCTTCCTCCCTCTCATCTCCCCCCCCCCCGAGCTCCCCTCCTTCCCTGCCTGGGCATGGCTCTCCCTCCTCCCCCAGCCCTTGTCGTCACCGTCATCGCTTCGAGTAAGAGCTGAGACATCCTTCGCCGGAGCCCAGACCTCACCGGAGCCCTCCGCGGCACGGCATCCCAACCCCGGCACGGCAGAGGGGACGGGGGGGCTTTGGGGACCCCTCCTTGCTCTCCCTGCAGCAGGTAAGGGGGTGTGTTTGGTCCAGGCTGGGTGGGAAGGAGAGAAGCTGTTTTTTCCCTGCCAATACCCATGATTAAAGCTGTTTGCAGAGTACCGAGGACGGTCAGGAAGCGACGGGGAGGCAGCGGCAGGGAAAGTTTCCCAGCTCTGCATGAAGTTCCTGTCTAAAAACCAAAAAAAAAAAAAACAAAAACAAACAAACAAAAAAAAAAAACATCCCCCGCTGCCCACCTTTAAAAGCCAATAAAGAAGTTATTTATCCTCGCTGCCTCCCCGACTGCACGTTGGGATGCTGAGAGCTTTCCCGGCTTCGCCGCAGCCGCGGGCATCCTCCGGTCCCTGCATCCCTCCGGGAAAGTGGTTGGCAAGTACCGGGGAGCAGCGTTTTGCAGGCACGTAGGTGCCCCCTCCCCGGGGCATCGCTGCTGCAGGGTCAGCGTGCTTTCAAACCCAGCGCTTTTGTGTCACGGAGAGATGGGAGAAATCCACCAGGGAGATGGTTTGGGTGCGGGGAGGGAGGCAGGGCTGTAGGGAAGGGGCTGCCCGTCCCGCTGCCAGAGCTGCCCCACGATGCTGGAGGAGCGCGGGGGTGGGCTCCTCTCCTGTGTCCCCCCCCCGCTAAACCCCCTTTCCCACGTACAGGCAGTTTCAGGCACAGCTTTGCATCACCCCAAGGCACCTCCTTTCCCTCTCCAATATCTATCAGAGCTTTAAGAAACCCAGGAAATCCCCACTCGTGTGACCCTATAACCAAGCCCGGAGTGGGAGCAGCTCCCCCAGCACTCCCCGTAATTTTCTCTCCAGCTCAGCGCAGCGGCCAGTGTTTCTCCTCCTGTTTTCCACCTCCTCCACTATCCTTGTGTTAATCAATTGAAAACTGTGCAAAAGAGGATGATGAGTTCGGGAGGGCTTCATGTTTTTACCGTCCAGGGAGGAATTTAAGCTAAAGGAGCTTCTTGTTTAGCAAAATCAGTGCTGGGCTGGGGACTTCCTTCTCTTTGGGGATGGAAGCAGTTGCCTCCTGGAGAGGAGAGGCTGCTTCTGCAGGCACAGGTCGGGTGTGGAGGAGTCACCTTGTAAGCAGGAGCAGATCTAGGGGCCTCTGCGGAGCAAATAATTTCCCCCCTTGTAGAGATTTGTGCCGGGGACGGGAATCAAACACATCCATGGATGGATGGATGGATGGATGGATGGATTGGTGGATGGATGGATGGATGGATGGATGGATGGATGGATTGGTGGATGGATGGATGGATGAGGGTGGATGATGAAAGGAGAATCCCTCTTCTCAAAAGTGAGTGCTACTGGACAAACCAGCCCCAGGAGCCCACTGGAGCAGCTGAGATGCTTCCCCCTCCCTCGCTCCCAGGGCACGAAGCAGCTTCCAGTCAGGGAGGGCAGAAAGCTGATTGAAACCAATTATTTTCTGGTCACCCCAGTATAAGTTGAAGCACTGGGCTTCATCTCTGCTATCACCCAGGGGCAGACCTGGGCTCCCCATGGCTTTAACTTGGGGGGTCCGGCTGCCCGGCTGCGACCGACGCTGCCCAGATTAACCCCTTGCCTGCCTGAGGAGCGTTTGATGAAGGGGGGAGCAGACACTTTGGGGGATGTTTGCCCTTAACTCTGCCGTGGTGGCAGCTCAGATCAGCTCCAAGCCCCGCTCATGGGTCGGGAGTGGCTTTGAGGGGGCCGCAGCGGGACCGTCACCTCCCAGACCCGCGCCGCGGTGGCATCGAGGTGACGGTGCCCCTCTTCTGTCTTTCCAGGAATGAAATTTGGGGCAGGTGACTTGGCAGAGCATCCCGGACCGCGCACCCACCCTGGTCTGGCTGTGTCCTTGCTGAGGCTCTCCCAGCCCACAGCCAGCTCCACCCATGGCTCCTCCAGCGCTCGCTAACGGTGGGGACACGCAGGACACCTCGCCGGAGGTCCCCTGTGGTGGCTTTCCCTCATAAACCTCCTCTCCCACCACCATCTCAGCTCATCGCTCCCCCTGGCCCCTCCTGGGGGGCTTCGCAAACTGCTCCAGGGAGGGGGTCCATGGGGGTTACCAGCACAGGCAGCATGGGGTGGCTGTCCCATGGCGTCACCCCCCTCATCACTTGGTGCTTTGTCACCTTCCAGGCAGGTAAGGGTGGCTCTGGCTTTCTCTGGAATACCTGAACGTCCTTCACTTGCGCCCTGCCTTCCCGTGGGTGTCACCCATTGGGGTCCTGGGGGGGGGTAAATTTGGGGAGAGGGGAGGGGAAGCCGAGGGAGCTGTGATGCATGAGCGTGGAAAACCAGTTGTCTCCCAGTTTACCCGCCATGCAGTCTCTCAGCATCCCCGGTCTCCGTGCTGGCATGGTGTCCCCCCACCACATGCCATGCCAGGACGGGGTCTGTGTCTTTGCAGAGCAGCTTGACACCACCCAGACACTTGGGTGGGGGCCCTCTGCTCTGGGTCATCCCCCCCCAGGGGATGCACCTCGGCAACCCCACATCCATCCTGTACAAGCTAGAAACGTTGGAGAGAAGGGAAAGAAAAATGGATTTTGATTCCACCTGCCATCAACTCAAGACCTTCCACAAGCTGGGTGTCTTGTTTGTCCCTTCACTTGGGACCAGATCTTCCCCCCCACCTCAAAAACCCCCAATCTCTGGCCAAAGTACAACAACCTGGGCCCTTGTTGGGTTTGCCAGCCCAGCGGAAAGAGCTTGTACGGAGTATGGGGCACGCTATGGGGCCATACACCCCTCCTTCCTCAGAGCAGAGCCGCTCATACAACGTCTCTTTGGCTGCGCTTTGCTGTGCAAAACCTTCTTTGCCTCCCTCGGCCTCCCTCAACTTGCTGGTGGGAATTTACAGGGCTCTGCAGCCAGTGAGGATGGCCAAGAGACAAGGACGGCAAGCTGGTGGCACCCAAAAGCAACGCCAACGATTTCTAGGCAGAGCCAAGAGCCTTGGGCTCAACCCAGCCCTGCCTCCAGGCCAGCCCGAGGGATGGTCTGGGGCCAGGCTGCAGCGGTCCCAAGGACTGGGTCAGCCTCCACTTTGCAAAGTTGAACCTGTTAGCACCAGTAAGAGCAGCTGGAGGGGACTGGGAGCGGGCTCCCAGCCACCCAAGAGTGGGATTTTCTCGGCCAGCATTGGAAGGTTGACCTCGCATCGCTCTCCGCTCCCCATGGGGCAGCTTTGAGGGGGTACCCCACCTCAGTGGGGTGCAGGGGTGTGGAAGGGGGGGGGGTGTGTGTCAGTGAGCTCTCCCCCACCCCATCCCCATCTCCTCACAGCCTCCTGCCTGCGGGAGCAGCCCGGCAGCCACGCCGAGGAGCGTCTCTTCAAGCACCTCTTCACCGGCTACAACCGCTGGTCGCGGCCGGTGCCCAACACCTCCGACGTGGTCATCGTGAAGTTCGGGCTCTCCATCGCGCAGCTGATCGACGTGGTGAGTAGCCCACCAGTCCCCAGTCCCGTGTCGTGTCTGTCTTTTCACCAGTTGGTCCTACTGGTCTGCCCGAGCGGGGCCTGGGGGGAGGCTGGTGGAAGGTTGGGTTTGGGCACCAGAAACCCTTCTGGCCATCTCCAGCGGGTGACAGAGCACCCACCCTGCCTCCCCCAGACCTCCAACAAGCAGAGGGGGTCTGCACCCCTCTTCTCCATCCCAAACCCTCCCTTGCCCTCAGAGCAGGAGCACATCAAGGACCACTGCAGGTCTCTGTCCGTGCCGTGTCCTTACCCACCATCTGCCTACCCTGGGGCACCTCCGGGCTTGTCTGTCCATCCCTCCCTCCCTAATTCCTCCCATGCACGCCCATCTATCCACCCATGCACCTATCTACCCATCCATCTACTCACCCACCTACCTGTCCATCTGTCCACCCATCAACCTACCCATCTGTCCATCTATCCATCCTTCCATCCACCTATCCAGGGGACTGTACAGCTGCCCAGCCATCGGAGTCGCTCAGAGCCCTGTGCTGCAAAACGCTCTTTCTTGCTGCCATCTAGTGAGCAGACATCTCATGGAAATATAGTCCCTCCTTGGACTTGCACTGGTACGTTGCTTCCAGGAGCTGAACCCCAAAGGTGGAGGGCAGGAAGTGAAAGCAGTGATTTTGGGGGGGACGACGCAGTGATGGGACAAGCCTTCTCTCCATCTCCTCTCACCTCCCTTTCTCCCGCTGCAGGATGAGAAGAACCAGATGATGACCACAAACGTCTGGCTGAAGCAGGTAGGAACCTGTTCCCTCGCTGGAACAAGGGCAGGAGCGTGTCAAGGAGGCCACAGCATTTGGGGCAGAGACCCAGGGGGACTTGGTGGCACCTCTGTGGTGCTGTTCCTCTGGGGGATGCTGCCAGAGGAGGAAGAGGAGGAGGCGTTGGGCAGCTTGGTCCCACCGAACCCAAAGCCACCTGATGTCCTTCCCTCCCTGTCTCCCTCCAGGAGTGGAGCGACTACAAACTGCGCTGGGATCCGGCGGACTTTGACAACGTCACCTCCATCCGGGTGCCCTCCGAGATGATCTGGATCCCTGATATCGTGCTCTACAACAAGTGAGCGACGCTGCTGAGATGGGGCATCCCTAGGGCCAGCTCCCTCATCCCATCCCATCCCATCCCATCCCATCCCATCCCATCCCATCCCATCCCATCCCATCCCAGTAGCTCCCTGGTGCTGCCAGGCCCCACAGACCTCCTGCCCCCCGTCCCACCCCACTGGTAAGGATGCAAATCAGGCCGCATCCATCTCCCCACGCCCGGTGCTCATGCTCCCACGCATCTCCATGCTCCGGGTGATGCCCAGGAGGATGAACCCAGCACCGTGCAGGGACGCATGATGGGGTCACAGCCTCAAATCAAGGCTCAGACCACTCCGGAGAGCTGAGGTAGCTCCTGGCCTTGTTTCTTGGGGGCAACACTCCAGTCTCCTCTGACCTTCACATCTCTCCATCCCTGCAGCGCTGACGGGGAGTTCGCCGTGACCCACATGACGAAAGCCCACCTCTTCTCCAACGGGAAGGTGAAGTGGGTGCCACCCGCCATCTACAAGAGCTCGTGCAGCATCGACGTCACCTTCTTCCCCTTCGATCAGCAGAACTGTAAGATGAAGTTCGGCTCCTGGACTTACGACAAGGCCAAGATCGACCTGGAGAACATGGACCGCCACGTGGACCTCAAGGATTACTGGGAGAGCGGCGAGTGGGCCATCATAAAGGCCATCGGCACCTATAACTCCAAGAAGTATGACTGCTGTACCGAAATCTACCCTGACATCACCTTCTGCTTCATCATCCGTCGCCTCCCGCTATTCTACACCATCAATCTCATCATACCTTGCCTGCTTATCTCCTGCCTGACCGTGCTGGTCTTCTACCTGCCCTCCGACTGCGGGGAGAAGATCACCCTCTGCATCTCCGTCCTGCTGTCCCTCACCGTCTTCCTGCTGCTCATCACAGAAATCATCCCGTCCACCTCGCTGGTCATCCCTCTCATCGGCGAGTACCTCCTCTTCACCATGATCTTCGTCACGCTCTCCATCATCATCACCGTCTTCGTCCTCAACGTCCACCACCGGTCCCCCAGCACCCACACGATGCCGCGCTGGGTCCGTGGCTTCTTCCTCAACTTCATCCCTCGCTGGCTCTTTATGAAGCGACCCCCGGCGCCGCCTCCCCCCGAGGGGACCGCGGGGCAGTACGACCTCCCGGGGACGAGGCTCAGCACCTCCCGCTGCTGGCTGGAGACTGATGTGGATGACAAGTGGGAGGAGGAGGAGGAAGAAGAGGAAGAGGAGGAGAAGACGTACCCCGGCCGCAGGTCCAAGGGGGGATCCCGCAGCCAGGCCACCCAGTGCCGCTACGCCTGTGGACGCCAAGCTGGGAAGGCGCCGGCGGGTTCAGCCCCCCGGGTGCCCCCCAAGGGGGAGGAGGAGGAGGAGGAGGAGGAGGAGGAGGAGGAGGAGGTAGGCTCGGACCGGGGGCTGGTGCTGTCCCCCAGCATCCTGAAGGCGCTGGAAGGGGTGCAGTACATCGCGGACCACCTGCGAGCCGAGGATGCTGATTTCTCAGTGAGTGGGTGCCCTCGAGGGTTGGAGGAGGGAGGGAGAGGGGGGGGTGAGGGGGGGGGAGGGGGGACACCCACCCTCGGTGCTGCTTCCTGCCACTTGTACCACTATTGTGTGTGGGGGAGACAGTGCTGGGACCCCCAGTTGGTTCCCTGCGCTCAAAGCCAAGGAGAAGCTCAATGGTCACCTCCTAGGAGATGCCTGATCCGTAGGGTCACTGGAGGGTTCCTCCAGCTCCCATCCCCGCCGCCTGCGGGGATGTTGGGGGTCCCTTTCCTGCCCGTGCTGTCCTGCCCTGGGAGAGCAGAGATCCTGCCCCGCGGGGACCCAGCTCAGAGGCTGCACCCCTACTTTTACCCAAATGGGTTCAGAAAACCCTGGGTGGGATTAGCTCAGCCCCGGAGAGGTCTGTCCCCCCGCACTGTGGGGATTTCCCAAGACGGGGGGTATCTCCTCACACCAGGGACAAACGATGGATACAGAGGAAGCCTCGGGTGGTCTCCTCACCCGAAGGCGTCCTCACAAACGGGGGGTTGCATCCTCCGCCCGCGCTCACGGCCCCTCTCTGCTCGGCAGGTGAAGGAGGACTGGAAGTACGTGGCCATGGTGATCGACCGCATCTTCCTCTGGATGTTCATCATCGTCTGCTTGCTGGGCACCATGGGGCTCTTCCTCCCACCCTACCTGGCGGGGATGATCTAGGGGCCGGGCTGGGCTGCGGTGGGGACGGCAGGCAATGCACGTTCCCTCCTCCTGGGGAGCGGGGACGGTGGGGCCCACATCCAACCAGACCCTTGCCTCTCCCTGAGAGGACACGGTTGCAACCACGGAGGACCTTCGGGTGGGAGTTGGAAGGTGAAGAAAGGGCTGTGCCGAGGGGTGACCTCGGGCTGGTGGGGAGGGACCTTCCATCCCATCTGGGGCGGTCGCAGCCATCCCGGAATCGAGGGAGACGCGGTACAGCCTCTCCGTTGCCCGAGCATAGGTTGAAGGTATCGAAGAGAGGCATCTGCTTCCTCAACCTGCTCCAAGTCCTACCCAACGCGGCAAGCCGTAACTCTTGGGGTGGTCCAGGCAGGTCGTGGGATGGAGGTCCCTGCTCGGCCGCGGGACTCGGGGTCGCAGACCCTCTGCAACCCGCCGGCACGAGCGGATCGCTTCCACACCATCCCACGCCGGAGCTCGGGGCGGCAGGGAGACGGGAAGAGCCGACCCAGAAATGTGGGTGGCTTGGGAGGGAAAAGCCACCCTGCGGAACGGGACAACCCACCCAGCCGTGGCCAGACGGAGCCTGGGAGCTCGGGGTGCTGCCCTGCGCCGAGGCTGGTGGACTCAGCTGGCGTGGGGGGAACCTGCGCTGCCGGCGTCCGGCCCGAGCAAATCCTCCTCTCCATCCCACCTCAGACCCCAAACCGCCTGGCTCTGATGACTGCTGCAATCCGGTTTTTAATTTCTAGCTTCCATATATCCTAAAGAGCATCTACTCTCTTCTTCCGTGCCCTCAGAGGCACCAGGATTTTCCAGCAATGATTTTCTCCTCCAGGAGACCAGCCTGGGCGCCGTGGTGCTGGGTGTAGTCTGAGAGATATCGAGAAAACACTTTGTGCTTTCAGGAGTGAAACGGGCTGGAATAAACGGTGCCAAGGAGGGACATGCATGTCCCGAGGGTGTTGCAACTGTTCAGGCAGCCTCGGGTGCTGGCTCAGGAGCGCTGGGGGATGAGAGGTGCGAGGGGGCGAGTGTCCAGGCGTGGGTGTACACATGTGTGCGGGTGCATGTACATGTGTGTGGGTGTATGGACGAGTGCGTGGGTGTCACTAAATTGGTGCACACGGGCTTTTGGGCTCTGCAGGGCAGAGAGCTCTCCTACGAGGGCAATTTTGGGCTTGGTTTTGGCAGGGGGGGGTGTGTGGCTACAAAAAGGTGGCGGCCAGGATGGGATGCCCAGCCCCCCAGACGTTGCCAGCCAGCCCTCACCGCGATGGGGCAGAGGGGGAACTTGCTCCCCTTCCCCCATTAATCCCTGCAGCCCTTCCCACCAGCACCCACCACCCCTCTCAGCTCAGCCCTGCCTGGCTGATGAGGCCACCAGCATACAAGCTTTGGGGTGATCCCCACCCCAGTGTCCCAAGCATCCTTCTTTTGGGGGGAGCCCATCCTTATGGCGGTGTTATCCCACATAACCCACTTCCCAGCAGCCTCCACCTTGAATTTCTCATGATTTCCTGATGGTCTCCGACAAGCAAAGGTCTGCAGATACTCGAGCAAGCCTTGGGGTGGGAGCCGAGGGAATCCAGGACCCTCACAAGGATTGTGGGGCCCCCACGGGAGGGAAATAGGGCTCCAGGGGGGGGGATGTGGATGCAGCAGACCCAGGTTCACACCAGCAGCTCCCCCGGGCAAGACGGCTCAGAGGTCTGAGCAGCACAACACTTACCCTTTCTAAAGGAGGTGCTGGTGACCGGGGGACTCGTCCCCAGGCTATGGGGGGGGGGGGGTGACAGGCAAGCACAGGCACCGCAGGACTTTGTGCACGGTTTATCTCAGCCAGAATGAACAGCGTTGTGGGAAGATGCTGGGGAAAAGCCCGTACCGTACGGTTTCCAACTCAAAGCACAAACCGAACGGGAGACTCGGTTTGCCGTCGTTGCCTTACGCAGAGCAGCTCGGAGAAAAAAAAAAATCAGCTGGGAGAGGGGCACCATTCTCCTGGTTTGTGTCACCAACAGATGCGGCCCGCGGGGTCCCGTCCCTCCCCGTGCTCTGCAGGCGGGGGGCCAGGCACGCGCTCCGGCCACGGACCCGCTTCCCACCGTTAAATAAACTCTTCTATACAATGTACAAGGAAACGCAAAGAGGCCCTGCGCCCACTGCTCCGTTGGCCCCTGGGGACCACCCCTGCGGCCCACCCCCTCCCTCGGGATGCCAGCTCCCCCCCGGCCACTGCGCCCCCCCCCCCCCCCCCACGGCTCCCGGCGGTGAGGAGCGGGGTCCAGGTCCCCGTCGCGACGTGCCGCCCGCGGCCGGGCCGAGGGATGGACCCACGGATCCGATGGCAGCTGGGGAGCCACCGAGCCAGAGGGATCTTCAGTCACTCCCGGGGACGGCCAGGTGTCCCGTCCCCCCCCCCCCAGCCCTTTTCAGGGACGAGTCACCAGATGCCTCCCTTCTTCAGAAGACGGGCGAGACGATGCTAAAGACACGAGCGGCTGCAGGAGGAGGGGGGACAGGGAGGGCAGGACAGCGAGGCCATGGGAGACACACAAAAGCCAGCTCCTCCGCAACGCTCTCCTCCCATCTCCGCCGACCGAAGCGCGGCGGTCCCTCTCCTCCTCTCCTTCCCCTTCCCTTCTCCTTCCCTCTCTCCTCCCCAGCCCTCACTCCAAGCACAGCTTCACCAGGTTGGCCTGGACCTTGGCTTGGTCCACGGCATCCAGGAGGTTCTTGGCGTCCACGGCCAGGGTGTGGGAGGCCGTCAGCATCTGCCGCTTGCACTCCTCGCTCAGCGAGGTGACGGCGTTCTGCTGCGCCAGGCGCATCTTGTTGATGAGGTCGGCCAAGTCCTTGTTGAGCAGCTTCTGGGTCCCCTCGATCTGGCCGTGACCGCACAGGAGTTACAGACAGGGGTGTCACCAGCACGCGACCCCCCCACGCCGGACCCCTCTCCCTCCTGCCCGGTCCTACCTCGGTGCGGGAAGCCGCGGGCAGGACAGGCAGGATCTCGTCCACGCTGCCGATCAGCTTCCGCAGGGACAGGCCCACGTTCTGCGGGGAGGGTGGCAGGGTTAGGATGGATCCAGGTGGGTTCCACCACGGGGAAGTGGGGTATGGGAACAGTCTGTGTCGCCGAGTCAAGGATCCCATTCGGATGAGGGTCACGTTGGAAACTCTCTCATTGTTGACTCAAGGACCCAACGGAGGAGCAGGGCATGATGGAAATGCTCCCACCATTGACCCAAGGACCCAACAGAGGAGCAGGGCATGTTAGAAACTCTCTCATTGTTGACTCAAGGGCTCAACAGAGGAGCAGGGCATGATGGAAATGCTCCCACCATTGACCCAAGGACCCAACGGAGGAGCAGGGCATGTTGGCAGCTCTCTCATCATTGACCCAAGAACCCAACAGAGGAGCAGGGTGTGCTGGAAATGCTCCCACCATTGACCCAAGGACCCAACGGAGGAGCAGAGCGTGTTAGAAACTCCCTCATTGTTGACCCAAGGACTCAGAGAAGCAGGGCATGATGGAAATGCTCCTACCATTGACCCAAGGACCCAACGGAGGAGCAGGGCATGTTAGAATCTCTCACTGTTGACTCAAGGACTCAACAGAGGAGCAGGGCATGATGGAAATGCTCCCACCATTGACCCAAGGACCCAACGGAGGAGCAGGGCATGTTAGAAACTCTCATTGTTGACTCAAGGACTCAACAGAGGAGCAGGGCATGATGGAAATGCTCCCACCATTGACCCAAGGACCCAGTGGTGGAGCAGGGCATGTTGGCAGCTCTCTCATCATTGACCCAAGAACCCAACAGAGGAGCAGGGTGTGCTGGAAATGCTCCCACTATTGACTTAAGGACCCAACGGAGGAGCAGAGCGTGTTAGAAACTCCCTCATTGTTGACCCAAGGACTCAGAGGAGCAGGGCATGATGGAAATGCTCCCACCATTGACCCAAGGACCCAACGGAGGAGCGGGGCATGTTAGAAACTCTCTCGTTGTTGACTCAAGGACTCAACAGAGGAGCAGGGCATGATGGAAATGCTCCCACCATTGACCCAAGGACCCAACGGAGGAGCAGGGCATGTTAGAAACTCTCTCATTGTTGACTCAAGGGCTCAACAGAGGAGCAGGGCATGATGGAAATGCTCCCACCATTGACCCAAGGACCCAACGGAGGAGCAGGGCATGTTAGAAACTCTCTCATTGTTGACTCAAGGGCTCAACAGAGGAGCAGGGCATGATGGAAATGCTCCCACCATTGATCCAAGGACCCAACGGAGGAGCAGGGCATGTTAGAAACTCTCTCATTGTTGACTCAAGGACCCAACGGAGGAGCAGGGCATGATGGAAATGCTCCCACCATTGACCCAAGGACCCAACAGAGGAGCAGGGCATGTTAGAAACTCTCTCATTGTTGACTCAAGGGCTCAACAGAGGAGCAGGGCATGATGGAAATGCTCCCACCATTGACCCAAGGACCCAACGGAGGAGCAGGGCATGTTGGCAGCTCTCTCATCATTGACCCAAGAACCCAACAGAGGAGCAGGGTGTGCTGGAAATGCTCCCACCATTGACCCAAGGACCCAACGGAGGAGCAGAGCGTGTTAGAAACTCCCTCATTGTTGACCCAAGGACTCAGAGAAGCAGGGCATGATGGAAATGCTCCTACCATTGACCCAAGGACCCAACGGAGGAGCAGGGCATGTTAGAATCTCTCACTGTTGACTCAAGGACTCAACAGAGGAGCAGGGCATGATGGAAATGCTCCCACCATTGACCCAAGGACCCAACGGAGGAGCAGGGCATGTTAGAAACTCTCATTGTTGACTCAAGGACTCAACAGAGGAGCAGGGCATGATGGAAATGCTCCCACCATTGACCCAAGGACCCAGTGGTGGAGCAGGGCATGTTGGCAGCTCTCTCATCATTGACCCAAGAACCCAACAGAGGAGCAGGGTGTGCTGGAAATGCTCCCACTATTGACTTAAGGACCCAACGGAGGAGCAGAGCGTGTTAGAAACTCCCTCATTGTTGACCCAAGGACTCAGAGGAGCAGGGCATGATGGAAATGCTCCCACCATTGACCCAAGGACCCAACGGAGGAGCGGGGCATGTTAGAAACTCTCTCGTTGTTGACTCAAGGACTCAACAGAGGAGCAGGGCATGATGGAAATGCTCCCACCATTGACCCAAGGACCCAACGGAGGAGCAGAGCATGTTAGAAACTCTCTCATTGTTGACTCAAGGGCTCAACAGAGGAGCAGGGCATGATGGAAATGCTCCCACCATTGACCCAAGGACCCAACGGAGGAGCAGGGCATGTTAGAAACTCTCTCATTGTTGACTCAAGGGCTCAACAGAGGAGCAGGGCATGATGGAAATGCTCCCACCATTGATCCAAGGACCCAACGGAGGAGCAGGGCATGTTAGAAACTCTCTCATTGTTGACTCAAGGACCCAACGGAGGAGCAGGGCATGATGGAAATGCTCCCACCATTGACCCAAGGACCCAACAGAGGAGCAGGGCATGTTAGAAACTCTCTCATTGTTGACTCAAGGGCTCAACAGAGGAGCAGGGCATGATGGAAATGCTCCCACCATTGACCCAAGGACCCAACGGAGGAGCAGGGCATGTTGGCAGCTCTCTCATCATTGACCCAAGAACCCAACAGAGGAGCAGGGTGTGCTGGAAATGCTCCCACCATTGACCCAAGGACCCAACGGAGGAGCAGAGCGTGTTAGAAACTCCCTCATTGTTGACCCAAGGACTCAGAGAAGCAGGGCATGATGGAAATGCTCCTACCATTGACCCAAGGACCCAACGGAGGAGCAGGGCATGTTAGAATCTCTCACTGTTGACTCAAGGACTCAACAGAGGAGCAGGGCATGATGGAAATGCTCCCACCATTGACCCAAGGACCCAACGGAGGAGCAGGGCATGTTAGAAACTCTCATTGTTGA